AACGGGGGTTAGGAATAGGAGAGAGAACCCAAACCTTCAGAATTTGTTTTATGCTCTCATGTAATCCTTTGTAGCCAGAGAAGCTTCATTGGGTCTGCTGAAATGGACCCAGGATGAAACATTACAGCTGCTGTGGGTAGAAAGTTTCAGGGCCTTTGATTTTCTGTGTGTTTGTATCTTTCCTGATCTATTCGTCCTAGGCCTGGCTGTTTGTTTTCAGGGTCTTATCTTCATACCTAAAAATGAAACCTCCCCATTTTAAAGGCAGAGAAAAGCACTTTAATCTTCAAGCCTTCTTTGAAACTGATTTTATTATGGGTAGTGAAGGTGGTTTCAGGCTACTTTACCTTATACAACTCCCATTTGTTTATCCAGAAATTGCTGTAACCTAAAATATTGGCCTACTATTGGAAATCCTGGTGGAGAATAATGACAGCCCTTTATTTGTCACAAGGATACTGGGAAAGGCACTGTCCCTTTAGGTTTCAGGACTGAGGACATAATTCAAAGCAAAAGTTTATCTTTTCAACTTCAGTTTTGTTTTCTCCATTTGAGTGTATTTTTTTAGGTACCAGCCATGGTAGATTTAACCATTTTGCTGATAACCTCATCATAATTACACTGTTTTGTGAAAATAATGGTGTAAGAGCGCTCGTTGGTAATTGGATGTCAGAGGCAGCTGGTTAGGAAATAGAATGGTGAGAAGTTTTAGATTTGAGTCATCTACTGACAGTGAAGTCAAACAAGCCTACCTTTGATCTGCATCTCGGTTTTTCTCCCCTGTAAACAAAAAAAGGGTAGAGTAGATGATGTCCATGGGTCCTTGGGACTTTGCCATTTTGTGATGCTGTGATTTTGTGACTTGTACCGCAGTCAGTTCATTGACAAACATGGTGCTAGTTGTGGGAGCACATCTTTAATACCCATGGTCGTCAGATTCTGAGGGCTCCTTGAGAGCACATGCTCTGTATGGATAGTCCCTCCCCCAATGCACCCCCCCCACACACACACACATACACACAAATCAGCCTTACATTTATTGGCTGTGTTGATGACCAACCTGACTTAAAAATGGGTCATCTTTTTGAGTGAGCAGCATTAGGGTTTTGTGTCCTGATATGGAGGTGCAGGAGATGCATTTGCTGTGGTGGTCCTGAAGTCTCTGCACTCTATGCATCTGCCTTGGAGAGAAAACATCCCCCCTGAACTTTGCTTCTACTGCTACTTCAGAAGGAAATAGCCATGGGAGATGGAACCTGGACCCCTTAAGAGGGGCTGCCCCAGGTGCCCTGGAGCTGCCTGTGACCTGCTGGTGACTTTGAGGACGAGTAAAGGTTGAGTTGGGAGCCTCCACAGCGAGGCCCCAGCCACTTGGGGATTGAGTCATGTGAGCACTGTGGGCCAGAGCTACTGTTCCTTGGCTTGCGGCCTGTTCCCCATCGTACCATAAGTGAATCGGGACACAAACCAGACCAGGAGTCGAGGTTTCTTAAGGTCCAGAGCACATACTTTCTCTCTTAAGCATTTTGTAAATGAAAACATTGAAAGCATTTTGGATTCCATGGAGTAAAATCAAAATAATTTAATGCCTTTTAGTGGAATACCAAGTGTTTTTGACTTGAGGGGGTTATTCTGATATTTCTGAGCATTTGTAGAGTGCATTGTGATGTCACTAATCCTGAGCCATGGGAAAAGCAAGGTCAAGTGCAGCACTGATTTATTTTGGTAATGAAATTTCCTTTTTGGTTGGCAGTAGGGCAAATGCAATCTTATAGACAGAAAGAACCGAAAGCTCTCTTTATGATGAGGTTTGGGCCATCAAAAGGCTGACTTCCTTCTCTGCTCCCTTGTCTGTGGGGAAGCTGAGTCTTTATATGGTTGGTCCCCATGTGGACAGATTACTTCTGTCTTGGGCACCCTATGTGTAGACAGGGGTAATTAGGGATAATTAAGAAGAGGATGCATACTCATTCTCTCTTTTTCTCTGTGTTTTCCTTTCTGGTTGTACTTCTTTTAATTTTTATTGAATTTATTGGGGTGACATCTATCTATCTATCTATATATATATAAGTAATGTGCATATTAGGCCAGGACGCCGTAACGGTCACGATCAGCTCAGGAGGAGGGGCCAGGCACGGCCCAGGGCCTGAGAGAACTACACACAGGGGGGCAGCGTGGCCCCCAGCAGTCCCAGAGCAGAGGCAGGGGGTTGTGTCCCAGCCACCGCCGCCACCTGGCCCTAGCATCTCCGGAGCGGGTTGTGTCCAAGCCACCACCGCTGCCCGGCTCCAGCAGCCCCAGATCTGCCCACAGAGGGAGGCCAGACTGCGGCTTAGGCCTGTTCCCCCTGGGGAGCAAGCCTAAGCTGTCAGTAGGACATCCCCTGAGGGCTCCCAGACTGTGAGAGGGGGCAGGCTGGGCTGAGTGACCCCCTCCCCTCCTCCACTGAACCTCTACTTGGTTAATAAAATTATATATGTTTCAAGTGTACAATTCTGTAACAAATCATCTATAAATTGTATTGTGTGTTCACTATCCCAAGTGAAGTCTCCTTCTGTCACTATTTATCTCCCCTTTTACCTTTCTGTTTTGTCCCAACCCCCTTTCCCTCTGGTAATCACCATACTTGTCTGTGTCTGTAAGGGTTTTTTTGTTTCATTTTGTTTTGGTTTGGTTTTTTTACTTAATCCCTTCACCGTCTTCACCCAGCACCCCCAACCCTCTCCACTCTGACAGCTGTCAGCTTAGTCTCTGTATCTATGAGTCTATTTTGCTTGTTTATTAATTTTGTTCATTAGATTCCACATATAAGTGAAATCATATGGTATCTATCTTTCTCTGACTGGTTTATTTCATTTAGCATAACACTCTCCAAATCCACCCATGCTGTCACAGAAGATAAAGATTTCCTTTTTTATGGCTGGGTAGTATTCCATTGTGCAAATGACCACAGCTTTTTTTTTTTTTAACATTATTGATTTTTAGAGAAAGAGGAAGGGAGAGGAATAGAGAAATAGAAACATCAATGAGAGAGAAACATCATCAAGTGGTTGCCTCCTGCATGCCCTCCACTGGGGATCAGGCACACAACCCAGGCATGTGTTCTGACTTGGAATTGAATTGGTGACCTCTTGGTTCATGGGTCAATGTGCAACCACTGAGCCACACCAGTGGGGCTACCAAACTTTTTTATCCACCCATCTACTGATGGGCACTTGGACTAGTTCTAAATTTTGGCTATTGTAAATAATGCTGCAATAAACATAGGGGTGCATATATCTTTTGAATTAGTGTTTCAGGTTACTTCAGATATATTTCCAGAAGTGGGATCCCTGGGTCATAAGGCAGTTCCATTTTTAATTTTTTTAGGAACCTCCATACTGTTTCCCACAGTGGCTGCACCAGAAATGCCTGAGTGTGTGTCTGTGGCAACTGAAAACCCTGGTCTAGTTATGTAGTCACATATCTCCCATCATCAAACCACAGTAAGGACAGGAGATAACATTCATTGATTGCTTGCTTTAGAGAAGGAAAAGTGTAGCACTTCAAATCTTGGACTTTGAAATTGATATGAATCCTGGCCCTGCCATTTGTTGATATCAGATGTTGGGCAAGTTGCTTTTCTTTTGTGTGCCTCCGTTTCCTCCATTGCAAAAGGGATTTAAATAGAGCCTGTTTCAGTGGATCAATATAAGAATTAAAACTAATTGTGATCGAGGACCTCCCCT